TAAATTCATTTGTCGAAGCGATCCTACTACAGATAACCCTCATGACGTAACCTTGTAGACAACGAGGTTTAGTCTCCGGGTTATTTGCCTACGTTTGGATGCTCATCCTTCCTGGTAGCTTGCAACCCTGAGCTACCGATTTTAAGCTCCTTCAAGTTACCTGGATCTACAGATTATATACATTGGTTAGGGTTAAGTTGCTTTGGGCCTCAACTCCTTCTAGGGAGTTATCCTTCGGGAGGTAAGCCCTATCTTGAAACTGTTCCTTAGCGGCAAACAGGGTTGTGGCTTCACGAGCACAGTATTCAGTTATAAAGTCATGCTATTATCACGGGGTAATCCTTCAAAGGTCGGTTGATTCTTGATAACAGGGTTGATAAGCTAGATCCTAATCCGATAGTCCGGTTGTTTCAAACGAGCTTGATGTATCGGTCCTATCGAGAAAGACGAGCTTTAAATGGTGCAAGTGTTCGAACTAAAACCGTTACGAGTGCAAAAGAGAGTTTCTAAGTCTTTCTGTGTAGTAAATAATTTGAAAAACTTCTAAATAAGGAATCCGGGCAAAATTCTACAGAATGACTAACGGGTCCAACCCCTCAAAAAGCATGTTCCCACGTGAAACGGTTTTTCAAAGTGATGTTTCCCGAGGTGATTAATGCTGACGGCAATAACCTACCTAGTAATAGAAGAGGGCGAAGCCTCTTAGAGTTACAAATTTTAGGTTGAATCAGTTAATGTGCTATAGTTCAGATCCCAATAGTAATCTGATGAGAGAGAAAGTTCCGAGTGATTCGAAAGTAATAAAGTCAATATGCACTTAAATAAAGATGAAGTCGCTAAATCCATATTTGTTCCATACATCCGTTCCCCCGAGTAGCCAAATGGGACCGACCCTATGGAAATGAATCAAGAAATAAATATCTGCATTACTATTTTTCCTTAATAACAAACCACCAACGCTCTTAGGTAGCGAATCTTAACAAGTGAAGTTCATAACCAGTAACGAGATCAACCTTACAAAGAAGATAGGGACTTAAAGCTTCACTAAGCCACAAACAGTGAGGGCGAATTGGCTGAATGCATTATAATTTCGATCACAAGTTGCACCGAATTCCACGGATCAATCCGATTGGACCAACCCTTCGGAAAAGAGCAAGTTCCAAGTCATTCGAAAGTACTAAAAGTCGACTTTTAGCATAATAAGTAAAGATGATGAGTCACTAAAACCAACGCATATGTCACATAAATGGGACCAACCCCATGTAAGCGATTTACGAAAATGAGCATTTTGCAATACGATATTTGTTGAATAAAGATATAACCAGAATTCTTAAGTAGCGAACCTAATGAGTGAAGTTCTAATCAGTAACGAGATCCATCTTACCAACAGCCTATAGTGCAACCTTTCAAATGAGATAAATGTTAAAAGCTTCACTGAACCACAAATAATTGGGGTAAGCCTGCCAAAAACATTATCGATCCGATCACTAGTTGTACCAAATCCTCATAACAGTCCGATTGGACCAACCCCTACTTAAGAGAACATGATCCGAGTCAACCGAAATAAAGATTATGCGTCCTAAAACCAGAGCACTTGTTCTATACATCTATTTTTTCGAGTAGTCAATGTGGCCAACTCCGCAAATCTGATTCTGGAGATGAGTACTACGCACGATATTTGCCAAGTAATAATAATACCACAAATGTTCTAACGAGTAAATTAAGCAGGCGAAGTTCTAACCTTACCAGCAAGCCTATGAGACCAACCCTTCAGGACTTTAAAATGGTGGAGGGTAATTTTGCCTCCTACCCTTCACCTTTTTTTTTGTTTTTTAAAGTTTGCGGCCAGGCTATACCGCTTGCGTAGTTAAGTAGGAAATTTTATCGTTCTTGTTGGGGAAATTAAGACAAATACTACTAGTTCTCGAAAGGTAGTGGGTATTCAATAAAATTTCTATAATGGTGCTACATCGTTTTGCTCTAGAGATTCGAGAGAACCGCTTAAGTTAAGTTGTGTATTGTAATTCATTTTTCGAAAATATTTCGGTAGAATCCAGCTCTTACGTTCCTTCCTCCTTTTGGGCCAGTGAATCTGACATTGCTTGAGATCCGACGCTTAAGCTGCTAGGTCCTTCACTATCCTGTGATCTAAATCTTTTTAAGAAACAAGCTTGTGGTACCAATCCAGTGGAGAAATAACTGCTTTAAGTTATTCTAAGCAGTATCTTTACGAGTATTGCCAGGTGACAACATCTTTCTTAATAATGAGGGTAGGTAACCCATGCAAGTTATTGCTCCGATCGCGACTAAATCAAACCTCTCAGAAGAATGGCTAAGAAATGTTGATTTGCAAAGTAGTGTTTCAACGAGCGAATCTACATGAGCCATAAAGATAATAAGTCCATTAAATAAGTATTCCGGTAAATAATAAAATTCATCAGACAAGAACGAAAGGAGATAGAGTTGTCCTTACGACGTTTTTATCCTTGGTAATAAAAAAGGTGGAGTAAGGCTAGGGAACTTTCAGTTAGCTTATGAAAAGTAGCGACATTACCTGACCATCTCTAGTTGATTTATTTTGGAGGAAAGATAGCCGTGGTTGAGGCGAGCGGAGTCTCATGAGTTGCTCGTCCCCATCAACGATAATCAGCGGGTAACGAATCGATTGCTCAGGTGCATCGCTGCCCTTGCAAGTTACCGTTCTCTCAAATTTTTCTGCTAGCAGAAAAAAAATACCATTCAGCAATCCTAACTCCGAAGGTGACGATATACTGGCGAGCGGTGCTAAGCAGGTTAAGTTATGGTGAATGCGTGCACAAAGTTGCGTTGGTAGGTCGAAGATGTTGATGGAGCGTGGATGGTGATGAAGCTGAAGTTTTAATGTTTCACAAGACTACCCGACTATTCGTGGGCTGAAAACAAGAAAGCAGAAAAGCGCAATAATCCAAGGAGGAAGGTACCGCAAAAGAGAAACTCGTGTAGTTCAGTTTTCGTGTAAACACCTTTCCCTGATGCAGCCTAGCATCCCGAAAGAGAGAGTATTGGGTTGTGGACTTGCCAAGATGGCTAAGATTTCCTAAACTACCGTGCTAGTCCGAAAATGGCAAGTTATGGTGGTAACGAACAACTTACCTTAGATGGTTTTCGTTAACGATAGGAGGGGCAAGGAGAAAACTGACGTGTTCCACCCTTCGATGAACTGCGTGCAGGTACGGAGAACGGAGCGCCGCCACAGATGCAGACGATGGGAAAACGACAGCGCAGGTGAAAAGTTACCCAGCCCCTGGGTCTGGATCTCTAGAAATAGCCAGGCTGACGCCGTCCAGAGGATTCTGCCCTCTGGGTGTAGAGATCCTTCCCTGTGGATACCGGCCTACCCTATACGGGTTTGGTCTTGCTGCTTCAGATGCCGGAAGAGGGCCTCATAGGGGCCCCGAAAATAGCCCAAGTGATTTCGGGGTCCTTCATCAAGATACAACGGAGCTTCCCGCGGAAAATGAGGCTTCCTCATGCATCTGGGCCAGAAGGAAGCCCGGGTGCGGAGCGGGAGGATTATGCATCCCCAGCAGGCTTAGTAGTCAATCCCGCGTAAGTGTCAACCTCAACCGTCTACCCTAGGTCCGGACCTGTCACTGTCAGCCTGTAAATCCGGCTTACTTAGCGTAAGGTCAGTAATTCAACCAATGAGGCGGGCGAAGCCACGCCTTCTATGCCTTTCCAGATATTTCTAAACGGACATGAATTAAAAAAAAGAAAAAAGAAAAAAAAAGTTGGATGTGGGGCAGGCAGAAAAGATGCCTGCCCGGTAGAGGGGCAGATGGTGAAAGTAGAGCCTCCGCCAGTCCACGGCCAAGGGCATATGGAACAGTTGCCCATGGCCGGGACAGGGGTGAAATCAGACCTCAGGGCATTCCGTCATACCCTGTGTTTTAAGGGTATCTGACGAAACACCCCAACTTTTAGGGGTATTTCAGCAATTTGTTCCCTTCCCCCAAAAAGAAGCCGAAAGACAGGTTCGGAACCGCCCTATCTCCCTATCTCCGTACGCCTCTCAACTTCAGATTATTACATGGGACTACCAGGGAGGCATATGATCAGGGGTGACTGAACGAGGAAAGTACATAGATCTAAGAGGGGGAAATGCAGGCCTGAAACGGGCCTATCTCCGTAGACCAGGGAAGGTAGGTTGGGAACAGCTCGCACCCACAGAGAGCACGCCAGGTGGTGTTCGTCAGCCTCCAGGCTGTCTCGTTCCAGGACCGCCATGAATGTCCAAGCTGTAGATGGATGTGTGCTGAAAATGCTGTTAGACATGGCTGGGGAGGAAGGTTATGCTGCAAACGCTGTGGAAGAAGGCCAAAACGCGATCGACGCCGCGCGCCCACCTTCGAAACAGTAGGTTCTAAGCCTGCAATTTGATAGATGTAAAAAGAGACAAAACAAAATGAAGTGATGTATGCTAGCCTTTGGAAGAGGGAGAACATTGCGATGCTATGCTGTATGCCGGGTTGGAAAGTTTTCGTGGAAGTCGCTCTCCGTTTCTCTCGGCCTGTCTGCAACGCACATTATCAATGTCTAGACGATCTCTCTCCCTGGCGAAAATCCCCCTGCGCACACTAGCGCACATACACACTCACACCCCCAGTCTCACACACGTTCTTTTGAATTCGATGGGCTACTTGCACACATTGGTACGCACTTAAAATTTCTAGACATCACCCATCCACCACTCATCCCCACAAACACATACACACAAACACGACGCCCCCCTCTCCCTCCCCTCGCCCCCCCCACACACCCACACACACACAAATACACACACACACACACACACACACACACACACACACACACACACNCCCACACACACACAAATACACACACACACACACACACACACACACACACACACACACACACACACACACATGAGCCGGTGAAAGTCCGACGAAACAGGCTGGCACAGTCATGCTTTTGATTGTAGCGTTGTGTACAGCGAACATAACAACACACACACACACACACAAACTTGTGCACGTGAAAGCACGCATCGACGAACTTGGACACATTTACGCATATCTAGAACGGAGAAGATAAAATGGACCTGGCTCAGATCAAGGCGGATATCGCCAACTCTGGCGGGGACAATGCACGGCAGACGCAAGCTCTGATTCAGGTGCTCATGCTGGTAGCGCAGCGGCGAGACATCTCCTCATTGACGAGGACGGTGTGCGACGATGTAATTAACGGAAGCGCAACGGCCGTTTGCAAGAAGCTGGCGTTCGACATCGTGCGAAGCAGCCGGCTGACGGGGGACCAGTGGGAGAGCGTGTGTAGAGGAGTTGCCACGTCAGCATTCGAGTCGTTCGACGTGGAGGTGGGTGCTGCGTCGATTGCGTTTTTGCCCGCGCTGCCAAGCTGGCGGATTGGAAAGTTCCTTGAAGATTACTCCAAGGAGCTGACGAGAGTGATCCAGAACGAAAACCCGATAATCCGACAAGCTGCGGTGGAAGCGATGGGCTGTGTCTTGGCGCGGGATGACGTGGCCATCCTGTGCTCGGGAGATGCCAACATGATGGAGCAGGTGCAGCGATGGTGGTCGCTAATCGCCGCGGCCATGGCGGATGCGTCGAACCTGGTCAGCGCGGCGGCGTTTGAAGCCGTGGGGAGGTTACTCGCGGAGTTTGGCAGCAAAAGGTTGAGTCGCATCGCCGGAGACAAGTTGATTCTCGGAGAGTCGGTGCTGGCTGTCCGGGCACGACTGATACGTCAGCAGTGTTTGTACACGTGGCAGCACCGGGACGTGTTGATGCGCCGGGGAACGATGCTTCCAATGGAGCTGGTGCGGGTGACGGTCTTCCCTCTCGTCTACGTGGCCCGAGCGATGGCGACGGGGTTAGTCGACGAGATGAAGGCCGTTGCGGGGGTCGGGATCGGTGATGATCCGGACAGCAGTCCAAGATCCACTCTGGCAAGCAGCATTACCGCTCGAGCAGGAGGAGGAGGAGGAGGAGGAGGAGGAGGGGGGGGGAAGCGTGGGACTCCGACGACGGATGTTATCTTGGGGGTGTGCGACATCGTGAGCCATTTCATCCCGTTTCTTACCTCTTTGGATCCTTCGCTAGTCTACGAGGTGGGTATCAATCTGCTCTCCCTCGCCGGTGTGCCAGGTGGCAGGGCTGAGTGGACGGCGGCTCCGATTACGGCGTTTCTGGCCCTTTGGGATCGCCAGGATTTCACGTCGGGGAGAGAAGCGTTAGTGCGGGCGGTTGTGTCGAATCTCCAGTTGCTCGATGTTCATCACCAGGTGGCGCTCTTCAAGAGATTGTTGTTGATGGTGAGGAACCTGCCGGTGGAGTCTGACCGGATGCATGCGCTGGCATGTGTCTGTAGATCGGCGCTGTCTGTCGATCTCTTTGCCAGAGAGAGTGTGAGACGAGGGCAGAAGCCGCTGCCGGGGACGGAAGTATCTTCGCTGTTCGAAGACGCGAAGATTCGAGGGGATCTCGGCTTCGTTAGCAGCGTGGGTCTGTTTAGGGAGGAATTGGTGGCGTGCCTAGTGGAGACCTGCTTTCAGATGTCAAGGTCAGGGGGGGCTGAGAGGGAATGGGAGAGGGAGGCGCGTGTGATTGGAGCTTTGTCCTCCGGAACCAGTCATGAAGCCACGGAATGGACGCACTCTGCACTCGACGTCGTCGAAGTCTGTCGACAGTGCATCAAGGTTGATGGTACACATCCCCCTCTCTCTCGCTCTCTCTCTCTCCCCCGCCCTCTCTCTCTCTCTCTCTCCCCCGCCCTCTCTCTCTCTCTCTCTCTTTCTCTTGCGTCTCCTCTCCCTCTTCTCTTATCGCTCCTCTCCTGTCCCCTCATCTCCTGTCTCTTCGTGCCTCTTCTGTATTCCTAACATTCATTTATTCCTTCGTTACTCTGTCGTATTGCTTTCTCTCTCTCTCTCTCTCTCTCTCTCTCTCTCTCTCTCTCTGTCTGTCTCTCTCTCTCTCTCTCTCTCGATTCGCTCCCAGGTCTAATCCTATCCTTTTGCCTCTGCCAGGTCATCTCAGTCCAGTTGAGGTGCAGCATGAGCCAAGGAAGTAGGGCAGTGGTTGTTTTGATTAAAAAAATAAATGAGAAAGAACTTCACGCTGCCGTAGCCGAGCAGGAACGTTTCTTCATGTCAATGGCCCTCTCCTCCTATTATCGTCGTTTGTTCCCTGGAACAGGCCCTCGCCAGTAGTTCCGTAGACCTACACGTCACCGCGTTTTTTTTTTTTTAATAATAAAGAAAAAACACGTCATCACCATTCTTGTCATTTCTCATACTTCATTGTCTACGACTCTATGCTTGTCATTTCTTATACTTTCCTTCTGACCGTCATTTTTTCATGTTTATATCATGCTTTTTATTTCTCTTACATTTCATCTAGTTTTTTTTTTTGTGTGTCACCCTGGCAAGTTTGACTCCGTCTCTTCCTTTGTCTTTCCTTCGCCTTCTCTCCCTCTTTCTCTCCCCTCTCAGTCTCTTCCTTTGTCTCTCCGCTCACTGTCTCCACTTCTTTTGGGGACCGCGCGAGAGAGTCGGCCTCCTTCCTTGGTCTTCATTTACTGGTTCTCGTTCTCGATGACGACGCCCATCGGTTGGTACCACCGTTGGTTCCTTTTGACCACGTGTTCCATCCGGGTGGTACCACCGTTGGTTCCTTTCGACCACGTGTTCCATCCGTTGTTAGTCGAGGATGATGATCGGTACATACTTACTGTAATTAGTGGTACCAGCAGTGATTCCTCCTTTTTGACCACGTGTTCATCCGTAGTTAGTCGAGGATGAGGATCGGTACATACTTACTGTAATTAGTGGTACCGCCGGGTGGTACCAACAGTGATTCCTCCTTTTTGACCACGTGTTCCATCCGTAGTTAGTCGAGGATGAGGATCGGTACCAACGGGCGTAGCTCAGGTGGTACACCCACCAACTGTTGAAATATGAATCATACGCAAGTTCGAATCTAGATGCAATCAGATGACCAGAATAAAATAATCATTCTGAATTTGGTACCAACCTGCGGGCGGTCAGTTCAATCATATGATATCTCAAGGCCGTCGCCCTTTTGAAGAGGAAGAAAAGGAGGAGGAGGAGGAGGAGGAGGCGGAGGAGGATCGGGTACATGCCGCCCCCGAGGGTTCCATAATTAATGCAAACAAAAAACTCCATCGCGGGTGCCGTTATGCGTCTGTTAGTAGCACTTGCAAAAATAAATAATGACACGGCAGTTTCTGTTGCGCTCTTTGGCAAGCGGTCGCGCCTTTTGCAGTCGGGAATCAAAAGATCGACCATCGAAAGAAGGGTGGTGCTGATTACATTTCATGTCATTTCATTGTCTGAGGCCTTTCTCCTTCGTGTCGCCACGAAGTTCAGACTATCATCACGCCTACTGCCATTGTTTTGTCCCATGAAAACCTGCTGATTGGCGCTTGTTGCTAGTGCTCCGTAGCTGTAGATATACGTATATAAAGACAGGCAGCTGTGACAGACTATAGAGGGTTCAGCCTCCTGTTGATGACTATAGAAGGTTCAGCCTCCTGTTGATTGTCGTTTGCTATTGCTCCGTCACTGTAGATATAGGTACTTGCTATTGCTCCGTCACTTTAGATATAGGTACTTGCTATTGCTCCCTCACTGTAGATATAGGTATATACATACAGGCAGAGGGGAGAAGAGGACAACGAACAAGGGGCTGTGACAGACTGTTTCAGCGAAGTTTCACCGGCTCATCAGGAGGCTCAACCCTCTATAGTCTGCAGAGTCGGTGCATATGTATACGTATGTAAAGGCAAGAAACTTGAACAAAGTAAATAAGCAAACGAGAATAGATGGATGGGAGGGAAAACGGAAAAAGAGGAGGAGGGTTGGTGGAGAGAAGGAGATGAAATGGAGAATAGGTGAAGAGGAGGGGGGGGGGAGGAATGGTGAAGAGGAGAAAAAAAGGAGGAAAGATGTACGAGGACGAGGAGGGGGAGGAGGGTGGGGGGAGGGGGGAGGAGGTGGAAGGAAAATATGTTTGAAGAGGGGAAAGGAGAAAAAAAAGGAGGAAGACGTGGGGGAAAAGAGTGCTAAGAGGAAAACTCTCTGCGGTTTGGAGAGGGAAACAGAAAAAGGGAGAAGATGATAGTCGGCGTACTTGAAATAGGATCCCTGTTTTATAAAAAAAGCATATTTCCCCCTTTTTTTCCACCGCGGGATGAAGGGGAAAGGAGGGGGGCTGTGTGCCAATTGATCTGTATCTCAAATTTCTGCCAGGCACATACGTATGAAGTTCTCTCAGAAGAAATCCCCTCTCCTCCCCCCTCTTCCCTCTTCCGTCTTCCCATTGGCGAATATAAGCGGATGAACTGGAAAAGAACAGGGGATAAAATTAGCCCCCCCTTCCTCCTCCTCTCTAGTCCAGCTTTGCCTTCGGCGGGAAAAAAGAAAGGCAGGCTGTTTTTTTTTTTTTTTTGCCGGACAGAGTGTGAAAGCAATTTTTTTTGCGCAGAATGGGATATGGATCCAAAAAACGATCCTCCGTATTCCTGGTAAAAAATACGATCCGCCCCCCCTCTCCTCCCACCCGTTCCATCGCACCCCCCCCCGGTGCCCCCCCCCTCCGGTTATCAAAGGATTTAGGTGATATATGAATATAAACAAGTAAATTATTACTACCGGTGAATGATTGTAGCCACTGAGTCTAAGAATATAATTAATAATAGTAATAATAAATAGTAATAATAAATAGTAAATAAAAGATAGTAATAATAAATAGTAATAATAAATAGTAAATGAAAAATAGTAATAATAAATAGTAATGGTAAATAGTAATAATTATATCGGGCATTTGTGTGTTCTATGACGATTTCATTCTGTAAACTCTTCTGCAAGTGGCGCCAAAAACTCTTCTGCACGTCTGAGGCCTTCTTTATTTGTCGTTTCATGTTTATTATTGTATTAATATTAATGTAATAAAATTATGTAATGTAATTACTTACTAATAAGCATACAGTCTTGTGCTACTGCTAGCCACGTAAACTGGACTCTTTATCATCGTCGTCCACATCTTTTGTGTTTTTGTGTGCTCCTTTCCATGATTCGTGCTTATCATCGTCTTGATCAGCATGTCTGAGCTGTCGCTCTCCAGTCGCTCTCCAGTCGCTCTCCAGTTTATCAGCAGCAGTTTCTCCTTCTTGATTGGCTTTCAGGATCCGCAACTTGCTGTCTCAATCAATCAATCAATTTACCCGCAACTTGCTTTCAGGATAGCAACCATGGTCGGCATCATCAATAATCAATCGCCTATCTCATCACACACCGCCACGGGGGTCATAACCAGGATCGCCATTATCTCCTTCCCTTCATTGTCCATTTACCCGTTTGGGCAATTAACTTGGACGTTCCTGGCCGCAAAATGTCGGCGAAATCGTACGTAATGTCCTACAGGCGGGATCCCGGTAAGGCCCTGGCGATTTCGGTTAAAAAAACAGCGAAATTGCGGCCAGGAACGTCGAAGTTAGACTTCGATGTTCCTGGCCCCAAATTTTTTCGGCGTTTTTTCAATTTTTTTCGGCGTGTTTTTTAACCGAAATCGTACGTAATAATGTCCTATTGGCGGGAACCTGGTAAGCCCTGGCGATTTCGGTTCAAAAAAAAAAGGGCGGGGAAATTGCGGCCAGGAACGTCGTCGATCCACTACCCTCGACTTGAAAAAATCTCAAGGGCGGCGCCGTTCCACTAGGCCCTTGAGATGTGTTAATCACGATTGGAAAGCCATTAAGCTTCCCGCCTCAACAAAACCCCGCTCTGAAAGGGCCTCGTTCCACTACCCTCGGCTTGAAAAATATCTCAAAGGCAGCCCTACAGGCGCCCTTGAGCGAAAACGTAATTAAAAAATACTAGAGTGCGTCTTCGTTCCACTGCACCCTGCAGTTCCCGCTCGCACAAGGAGTGGGGAAAGTGCGGCCCGGTTCGTTACAATATTTTCACGAGGTCGTTACTGTTTCAGGTCCACGGGACATGGGAATTTCGCGAAAACGTGGGAGGCTACTTCCTGTGGTTCACCACCAGGCCCGTCGCTGGACCAGGACTACCGCGGTTCGCAAAAAAAAAAAAAAAAAAAAGGACCGGACTGGGGGGCTGAACTGCCTTTAGGCGCGCGTTGCCGCCTTTTCCAAGAATTTTCAAGTCAGAGGTGACTTGAAAATTGGCCCAAGTTGCCTCGGCGCCCTACGGCCGCCCTCAAGTCTCAGAGCGGGATTTTCTTCAGGCGGGAAGCTTAGGGGCTCGTTCGACACTCCTCGGGTGCCTAAAATCCCCGAGGAATTGTTCGTTCCACTTATCCTCGGGGGTGCAGTCGGAAAAAAAAAAGTGAAAACACTCCGAAGGAAATTCCTTGGGCTCCGAGGATTCCCCAGCCATTTCTCCCGTTTGGGCAAAAGGAATCCACTTTTTCACGGAGAGGAGCAGGCACACGTGTAGAGAGACGTTACAACCGAGAATCTGGATCGTGGCGGCACCCTATTGGCTGAAGGCCTTAAGCACTTTTTTTTTTTCTTTTTTTTTTTTTTTTCTTTCTTTTCTGACATTGCTCCGAGGAAACGTCCTCGGGCGACGTGTCCCGAGGACAAGGTGGAACGAAGGGCCCAAATTTCCTTTTGACTAAAAGGAATTTTTCCTCGGGCTCCGAGGACGCCCCAAGGAGTGTCGAACGAGCCCCTTAATCACTTTCCATTGTGATTAGCAGATCTCAAGGGCCTAGTGGAACGGCGCCGCCCTTGAGATATTTTCAAGTCGAGGGTAGTGGAACGAGGCCCAAACTCGAGGGCGTAGGGTGCCGAGGTGACTTGAACCTCCCGGAGGTGACTTGAACCTCCCGGAGGTGACTTGAACCTCCTGGAGGTGACTTGAAATTTCTTGGAAACGGCGGCAATATGCGTCGCCAGGCAGCAGTTCAGCCCCCCCTTGCGGTCCTTTTCTTTTTTTTTTTTGCCAATCGCGGTTGTCGGGGCCCAGGGTTGGACCTGGGTTGTGAAAATTCCGTGACAAACAGGGGTGCACATTTTCCCGCTCCTTTTGGGAGCGGGAACTGCAGGGTGTAGTGGAACGCCAACGACCTCTAGTATTTTTTAATTACGTTTTGACTCAAGGGCGCCCGTAGGGCTGCCCTTGAGATTTTTTTCAAGTCGAGGGTAGTGGAACGAGGCCCGAAGTCTCGAAGTGAGACTTTGACGACGTTCCTGGCCGCAATTTCCCCGCCCTTTTTTTTTTGTACCCAAATCGTTTGTAATGTCCTAAAGGCGGGAACCCGGTAAGCCCTGGCGATTTCGGTTCCAAAAAAAAGGCGGGGAAATTGCGGCCAGGAACGTCAAATTTATGCAAATTCGTGGCCTGAAAGAGTTTTTCTTTCTTTTGTTTCGTTTGTTGGTTTCTCCTCCTTAGTGAGTTTATTATTTGTTGTATGTTTTGGAATGAGCCGCAAAAGCGGGCAGGAAGCCAGCTAGAGGGGTCTGTGGGACCGGAACTGTTTGTTTTTGCATGTATCGTCATATTGATTGATAAGAACTGCCTGCTAACTTAACAAAAAAAAAAAGGACTGGCTGGTAACCAAAAAAAAAAGAAAAGGACTGGCTGGTAAAGCATCGGCAGAAGGGGAGAAAAAGGTCAAAAAACGTTATTTTCTTTTCTCCTTTTCTTCAATTCTGGAGGGTGGTGACAAACTGTTTCGTCGGACTCTTGTGGAGGGATCAGCTAGAGGGGTCTATAGACTCAGGGATCAGCTAGAGGGGGCTATAGACTCAGGGATCAGCTAGAGGGGGCTATAGACTCAGGGATCAGGTAGAGGGGTCTGTAGATTCAGGGTTCAGCTAGAAGGGTCTATAGACTCAGGGATCAGCTGGAGGGGTCTTTAGACTCAGGGATCAGACCCCTCAGGGATCAGCTAGAGGGGTCTATAGACTCAGGGATCAGACCCCTCAGGGATCAGCTAAAGGGGTCTATATACTCAGGGATCCCAGGCCCATCATCAGCCCATCACTGTTGCAGGCTGCTGCCGAGCCAGTCACCTCTGCGCTTATATTAACAAATTACAAAGGAAAAAAGGGAAAAATAAAAGAAAAAGAACAAAGAGTAATGAAAAAAGAAAAAAGACAAGAGAGTGGCGTCTGCCGCCATTGTGTGTAGACGCATGTTGGAGTTTAGGTCCCTCATTGTGTGCATGCATCATCCGCTGCATCCTGCCATCATAGCGTGCTCAATTTGCACCAAAAACGAACTGACCGGCCCTAGGCAATTCAGAATGATTTTATTCTGTTCATCTGATACGATCTGGGTTTGAACTTGAGTCTCTGTTTCAACAGTTCATGGGTGTGCCGACTGAGCTAGGCTCTTCTTTTTCAACCCACCAACCCACGTTTAACTGTGACAGGTGACAGATAGATGATCCACGCACTCCTACCCTCCCTTGTCCCTCGTCTGCAACCGGCATGACATTGTCCAGGAGGGAGGCTTCTTCTTCCCCTTCCCTTGTTGCAAGTGATGAACCATGCGTGCCATTTGTCTGCGGAGGCTTCTTGCAAGGCCATGACACAAAAGTTTTGCCCTTTCGTAGGCCCTTGCATGCAATAAAAAGCATGTCATTTGTTATGTAGGGGTTCTTGCAAGGGGTGGCATGGTTCATCCCAACAGTTGTCACCACGGTGACTGTGCTGCTACACGGAGAGCTCTGCCTACGGCTTGCCCTGGCGGCATCCATACAATCCATCGATATTGTTGGTGACTTTTTTTTTTGTTTTGCAGCCAACGTTATGATTAATCTAGTCCCTGATATCAGTCTCTTGCCTGCAGCGTTGACGTCGTGCTTTTGGTCTCCCCCTCTCCTCCCCGCCCCCCACTAAGCAGAGGGGGATGTGGGCACTTCCCACTCAAACTACACAAAGGGTAGGAAACTGAGCAACGCCCGAAAGAGACGAAGAGAAAAGAAATGCAGGAAAAGAAAATAGCATCAGTATTGCAGGGCTTGCCCTTGAATCTTTTTCGTTATCGCCTTGCAACCCCATGCAGACCTGTCTGCCCTCACTGGTGGGTTGTCTCCCGGCAGCGTAGGAGGGTGCGCAGCTCTGGGATTTACCCTGACAAGCGTTTTTTGTCAGTACCATTTCCCTATTTGTGGGCGGCAGGATTCGAACCTTCGCGGGCAGAGAATTTTGGACCATTTCTCGATTTATGCATGTCATCCTTGCGCAGTGGCTGTGGTAATCGTCTCTGTATCGTGCGAAATTTAGTGGATGTCCCAAATTCTTTTACCCATTCTTTTACCCCGCCTCTCTTTCGGGAGTCCCATCCAACAACTTTTTGGAGATATCCAGCTTCCTCTGTATGTGGTATGGCCCCCCTTTCCATTGCTGCCTCCACCTTCCCTTCATTGTTTTTTTGCTTTTTTTATGTCTCGCTCGACCTAGGTCGAGCTCAACGATCTGAGTTGCCATCCGTTTTTGTGTGCGCTGTGCGGTGCTGTGGTGTGTGTGTGTGTGTGTGTGTGTGTGTGTGTGTGTGTGTGTGTGTGTGTGTGTGTGTGTGTGTGTGTTACAGTGGGACTGCCAGGGTCGCACGTATGCAATGGATTGCTATTTGCGTCTGCTAGTGCGACTGTGCCACTTGTATGATACATCGTCAGGGATAAAGAAGGAGAAGGATGGTGCAAAGCCCGAGGAGGTGATTGCGCATCAGAAGCTTGTGGCATTGCAAATGCAGCTGCTGCAGGACCTTGGGAGTATCTATACACCGCGCATGCGTGTACGAGTGATCTGGGCACTGGCAGAACATTTGGATTTAGATGGCCTCAGCCCTTTGATGGTGGACGATGCTGCAGATCCCCTTGTGGGGCTTGTGGGCCAGATTCATCGTATACTGTTCAACGTGGATTCGACAGCAGCGTCGGCCTCCGATCGACTTCAGGATGTGCAAACACTGCTCTTGTGTGCGCTTCATCTTGGGTCAAGGAGCGAATCTGCTGCTGCTATGCTCAGTGAGGAGATCGAAGCCTTCAAAAACAGCAATCTGGCAGACGTAGTGAATAAGAATCATTGCAGGATGATTCTCAGCGTGTTCAACTATGTACGTGAGCATCCAGATGCCAAGTAAGCATGCTACCTAGACCAACCACACACACACACACATGGTGACGCGTGCACGCACATGAGAGAGAGAGAGAGAGAGAGAGAGAGAGAGAGAGAGAGAGAGAGAGAGAGAGAGAGAGAGAGAGAGAGAGAGAGAGAGAGATGGGTGGACTCTTCTCTATAGATCTGTTGATATGGTGCGGAGGTCCATCCGTCTGTCTTTTTTCTGGTGTGTGTGGATTCTCCCTCTTTAGTTAGAGAGGAACAGAAAACGGCTTCTCTCTCTCTCTTTCCCTCTCTCTCTCTCTCTCTCTCGTGTCACCGTATGGTTGTTTTCTTGCTTCTCCTTTCTTTTTTAGTGAGAGGGTGGGGTAGGGGATTTAAACAAATAGCCCCTGCCCGAAGCTGCTTGCACCCTGCCATTGAGCCCATCTACTGCCAGCTGCTTAGTACTTACCTGGTGAAGAAGAAAGGGGCGTTGAATGCATTGGGGGGTTAAGCTATCAGTATCTCGAGGGCAACGCTTCTGAATCCCTCTCTTTCATGCAGTCTGAAACGCTGGGAGGCATGGCAGTTAGCCCTGGGTTTCGGCAACAGCTCTTGAAGTGAAGAAAACCATGCACTACAGCGTTATTGGTCAGGCATGTGTGGGAGAGGGGGGGTGGAGGCAGGGGATGGGGTGCAAGGGGTAAGAAAACACAGAGGATGAACTTGATTTGTTGCCGGGCCGTATACCAGAAAAATGTTGCCCGCCTTGTCTGACTGGAAAAACCGAGAACAAGGTCTGTGAAAGATACTAGCGGTTTCTCTCAGCAGCTGCTTATGGAGGTGTGAATGGCATTTTACCCTCTGAATTGTCACCCCTTCACCCACCGTTCTTGTGGCACAGGCAGAGACGATATGGCTGGAAATGAACTCCTAGAACAATTGTGACCGAGGGTTTGCATCCTCCCCCCTCCGCCCTCCCCCCTCCCCTTTTCTCCCCACGCACATGCCTGTCCTGGCTGGCCTCCTACTGGGCTGTCCGTGCTCCTTCCATGCGGCAAAGGATTGAGTCCTGAGAGGCCATAATATGCGATGAATGAATGCAGTGACATTTTCCACAACAGCAGGTTCTCGAAGTGTTGTCTGGGTACGTATAAGTGGGAACATTTTGTGACCAAATCACGTTCTATCACAGAAGAATAGACGGATGTGGAAATGGCTCTCCACGAGCAAAAGTGCGTTATGTTGTGATCTCTCTGGCGTGGTATAGGAATGGTGGGGTGCTTAGGAGAGGCAATTGCGAGTCGCTACTCATGGCAGCGGATGTGGAACTGGAATGCAAGAGCATGACGTGACCCTCTCTCTCTTTCTTTCCTCGGTGTCCTGCGAGNTGCGAGTCGCTACTCATGGCAGCGGATGTGGAACTGGAATGCAAGAGCATGACGTGACCCTCTCTCTCTTTCTTTCCTCGGTGTCCTGCGAGAAAAGAATGACGGCAATAAGTACTTGATTCAGAATGAGTCATTGATAGGGTTGGGCTGTAGGTGATTGAGAGGGATACGGATGACCATCTGCTAAAACAGCGATGAACGCTTGATTCATTTGGTGCTAATTGTTGATTGAGTCAGGTTATACTTTTTTGGTGTGAGTTGTAAGTGAGCTGACTGTCAGGATGTGGTTTGGTATATATGTGGTGGCCATATGTGGCTGCTGCTACTTTGTTTGCTTTGCCCAATGCTGTGTTAGGTGGACTGGTCGGGTGATGTCTTCAGGTGATTACCCGTTCAGTCATCACAAGTTGCCTGTGCAGTTCGCTGACTTGGCGGCTGCGGTGGATCGCAAGTTGGAAGCAGTTGTAAAGAAAGCGATAGGCGATGTGTGGAGGCCGGCGACTTTGGACCCTGCTGCTGCTGCCATGAAAATGGGAACAGAAGGGGGACCTGTAGCTTCCTTGCAGATACCGCCTGCCAGAACACTCTCAGGCAGCAGCGACCCGTGCTATCTTGAGGCGTACCATCTTTCTGACATCAGCGAACGAAGACTAACCCTGAACATGAAGGTAAGCCTTCATGGCAAGGTTGTGATCGTGTCGCAGAGTCATTTTGCGAACCTCACATGAGGAAAACTCTTTACCTCACCTCACATGTGGTGGTGATCGTAGTGACGACTGTTCCATCAGGTACTGTGATCAACAAGATAAACACCATGTCGTTCGTAGGAATGCCAAGTAGTCATACATAATGTTTGCTCTGTTATACTGTTACACATATACGAGGGTGCCTTGAAAAAAAAAAAGAGGTGCTCTCCAATCGTCAAATCACAAGGTCTTGTCAAACTCTACTCTGTTCTGCTTGCGTGGGCTCCACGTGTGTTTCTTTTTATGTGAAAAAACTTCAAAAAAGCCAAGCGTGACGTGTTCATCCTCCTCTGACAGCGAGTCTAGAGGTTCGAACTCTGTTAAATGCATTAATGTCAAACAAAGAGAGATTGCCGTTTGTGCTTAACGAAGAGGAGCAAATGACGTCGTCAAAAAGTGGTGCCGATTCTCATCAAGGACATAAACCAGGATTATTGAGCGTTAGCTAGTAAGAACAAGAAAGGCCGACACCTGAAGAATATGTTTTTGTTTTCTTTATTTTTTATTATTATTATTATCTTTTTTCTGAATGTTATCCGAAAATATTCGAAAGGAGGAGGAGGTAGCCTACCGTCTTCACCCGAAAATAACGCCCGGGCGTTATAATCAGTAAATTGGTGGCAACTTCGGCGGGGGCCCAAAATTCCGAAAAACAAAATTCAAAAAATTCTGAAAAAAAAAAATGTTGTCCAGAATTGCAATGCGACCATCTTTTGGCTGAGGGTCACTACAGAATTCCTTATAAACTCGGAAACAAAAGATAAAAAGCAAAAAATAAAACCGAAGTATGCCCCTTGGAAGTCGAAACCCCTTTCAACCCCCTTTAAAACCCATGTATATCTCCCTTCCCGCCCTTTCAAAGTTCAAACCCATGTATCCTCTGCAAGGCACTCTGTCCATGGAACATTCAAATATAACGCCCGGGCGTTCTATTCGAATATAATGCCTGGGCTTTATAGTCGAAGGGGCGTTCTATTTGAGAAAAAAAGAGTAAAAACGAAAATCTGATCTTTTTCGGGTAAGTTGAATATAACGCCGGGGCGTTATTTTCGGGTGAAGACGGTAGTCTCTTTTGCTTGTGTACGCAATTGACTAATTCTGACTCTATTTTCTTTCTTGTCCCTCCTCCTTTCCTTGTTTGTTTATCTGCCTCTCTTGCCCTGACATCTCTGGGTTTCTGCCATTATTAAGGAGGTGCAAAGAAACACGAGTGTAAGTGCCTAAGGGTTGAGTCTAGGCCCTAGGGAGGTCGTGTCTCCAAGTCCAAGTCCCATTTCCAGGGTGAAAAGTCGCTGTCTAGGGCCAGTGGGCCAGTAGCCGTCTGAGACGTCCCTGAGGTGGAATGGACTGGAGTAAGTGGGCCCAGAAGTACCCCCACGAAGTAAATGGGTCCAGTAGTACCCCCACCAAGTAAATGTGCCCAGAAGTACCCCCACAAAGTAAGTGGGCCCAGAAGTACCCCCATCGACGGCCTGAAAAGTAACCACAGACCTGAGGAAAGTCAAGAAGCAGGCCCAAGCCCGGGACGGTGGACCGATAGTCAAAGATTTTCTCAGAAGTCAAACTCGGCTACAGATCACACACAACCCAAGGGGTCAGGACAGTTTCCAGAAACTTCCAGCCAGACTCGCTGGGACCAATCGCACACATGTGTCTGAATCCTGGTTGCGCAGACCAAGAGAATCTCAGCCATTCGAGAAGGCAACCTGAGGCAGGCCAAGACCGAACACTACAGAAGCAGCCCCTGCCTCAGTTCGGGCATTCATTCTGCCTGGGCGACGCTGGAGCTCGTGCGTTTGTTGGAGTAGACTTAGACTACCTTGTGCCTGGCTGAAGTAGAGAGTGCGAGATTGGCAAGGGAACCATAGCTGTGACAAGACTGCCCACGGGCTGAGCAGGGGAGGGTGCTGCCTCCACGGCTGTAGGGAGAGAGTGAGTGAGGGAAGAAGGTTGGAGGTGAGATCTGTCATGTGGGGAAATATCCTTGCCTACCTGGTGTCTTCCGGCTGATGCTCTTCATTGTTGATGATTTCTCCGCTGCTCGAGGTGTAATTTGTTGTCGTTTTCAAAAGCATTTGTTGGACCAGGATTGCTTTGAGGAAGCAGCACTAGAAGTGAGTGCTATGAAAGACAGACATTGCGGATACATGGGGCGAGTCAGAGCAGTGTTAGGTGTTGGTTGAGGAGAGGCTTGTGGGTGAGAGAGAAGGGAGGTGATTGGAGAGGAAGAAACCTGGAGTCGGCATCTTGTCTATTCTGTTTCATGTGTCTAGTTCATGCATGAGAAGTGTTTGAGAGATGAGCAGTGAGAACTGACTGGGTTGGTTCATTGCAGAGGGAAGTTGTGTGAGAATTTCGCATAGTCGAAAAGAGCAAGGAAGCCTGTTTGTTACTCAGCCCATATGCCGGAATGGTACACCCATGTAACTCTTGATAAACAGACGTGAGATGGAACCTGATGAATGAGATGACTGATAACTGAGCTTTGAATTACCTGGGGCCGTTCACGTCAGTGATGAGACCTCTTGAAGACCATTGACAATTGCCCTTCAAAAAAATACAAGAAAGGAAGCCGCGTGCTACGACTGCTAACTGCTGCCTAAGTGCCGCGGTCGGAGCGGTAGTATACCTACCTGGCTACATCCTGGAATGTCGGCATCCTCGAAAGTATACCATAGCCAACTACATTCAAGGTATTATCCTTGAATGTAGTTGGCTATGGCCAACCTGTTTTGATTCCTCCCTCATCTGGCTGATGCAGGGCCTGTCGTTTGGTCTATATGCAGATTCTTAACATGACAGAGCAGGAGCTTGACAGAGTCGATGTGCGTGTTGGACTGATTGGATCTCTCAGCTTTCTCGACTCTTCCCCACAGGCAGTGCGGCAGCTGAAGAATCTGATATCGCAGGTTAGTAGTTCTTTAGGAGACGATTCACGTAGTTTCACCTTTTGCTTTATTCCTTTTTGCATACCAATGAACCCCTTTATCCCCCCCCTCCCTCCTCCGAGCACCCTTTTTGGGACTGAGGAAAAAGGGAAAGGCTACTTATTTGCGTCTTTACTACCCTGGTAGCTTTTCTGTTGCACTCCCAGTATTGCTCTTGTATGAGGCGTTCAGTGTTTGTCATTCCAAAATTTGGAGTCAACGGCACTTCCGTCAGTTTGTTGTTTGCTTTTCGTTTGTCCTAGGGCGTACTCACACTAGGACGTTTGCGAGTGATTCTGGACAGACATCCAGCTTCGGCCGTAATTGCGGTCAGATGCATCTAGACATGTCCAAGTACAAGTATGCTATTAGTCTTTGTTTGATTTGTTGAAGCAATGGGCCTTGCCTCACCACTCCCGAATCCCAAATTTTCTTTGAGAGTGCTCACCAACTCCAGGATCTGGAAAATGGCCGTTGAGAGGGCTTATTGCCGCACTGCACTCCTGAATTGCAAACTCTCGCATTTGGGAGTTGCGGCGAAGCGCCTTGGTCTGTGCAGTGGGCCGACTATTGCCAGTTTGATAGAGACTCTGATGGCTGCAACATGCTCCCAAATTTCAAAGTCGGCTGCTCAGCAGAGGTCTCTGAAATTGGCCTGCCTGCAAGAAAAGAGTTCGGGAGTGCTCTCGAAGCCGCCTTCATGACAGGTCTCGAGTTTCTTCTGACAGGCCGAATTCGACAGCAGGTGTGGCGACGAGTTCGCTCTTGGATTAGCCGATTTGGGGAGTGGTGTGGCGAGGCCCAATGTCTCAGCTGTCCAAGCGAGAGAAACATTATGCTACAATTGGTCGTAGTATGTCTGCATGTGTGTGTGGGGCAGAGAGCTCGCCAGAAAAGTAAACGCTCACTGCATTCTTTTTTGTTTTTTTTTTCACTGAGAAGATTCAAAAGGGGAAAATAAATCTTTAATCACCCCTTTCACTTCTTTGATCCGGGTTGTTTGTGAGGATTCCCGGCATCATGACTGTTTTTATAATGGAAATCCTCTCTTCCCTGGCTCCCCCSCCCCCYCCCCCCCCCCCTCCTCCACCCCAAAAAAAAGAACTTTAATCGATTCTGAGGTGTCCTGACTGTGGGATGTAACTTTGACTGTGGGGTGGAACATCTGACTGTGGAGTGGAACATCTGACTTGTCTAATGAATGATCATTGTTTGCGGTGCAGGATCCAACGCTGTTTGATATTACAGTCTGTGTCGCCAGATTCGAGCGTTGCGCCCTTGCAGTGCAGCTCGTCTTCTACCCTGGCACCGCCACGGTAGCACCAGGTGAGCACAGGGATGACAATGGGTATGGCGGGATCGGCTCCAACCGGTTCTCGGGAACTGAAAAGTCGGAGCACAGTGACGCAGTGGTGTTGAGATGTGCGCCTTACAGAGTACCCTTAACGGAAATGCTCCTGCCGCAGAAATCCTCATCCGTGGAGTTTTTCAGGTTGTGGTCAAGTTTGCCGTTTTCCACAATGCACGTTGGAGTCTACGATCACGATCCAAATGATCGTCTGGTGCTCAGTGGTGAAGAGATTGGCGTGCCAAGGTTTCTGTCTGGACTTAAGGCCCTCGCTCGAAAACCCCTTTACAGAGTCTGCACACATGTAATCCAGACGAACATGGGGTTCCAGGTAAGCCCCCCTCTTCCCATTTGCAGGCTCAGACCCGCATTCTCATCCTGACGCTTATGAGGGGGGATACACACTCTAGGAGGGACTTTCCTGACTGAACCTGGACGTTATTGCTTGGGACTAGACATATCCAGGAAAATCTCAGTGTGAGTATGCCCTTATCGGGCATGACGATTGCACCTGTGCACACAGGAATGGTGGTGATGCTTCCCTGGGCATGCTCTTCCAGGGGTGACAGGGGGTTGGGAAGATGACTGCATACAGTGCATAGATGTGTGTATGTGTGTGCCGGGTGGAGACTGGGAGAACTGACTCAAGTGAGGAATCGGTCCGAGATAGGGTGGCTCTACAAAAGGAAGAAAGAGTAGAGCGAGGATGTAGGAGAGGCCTCAACAAATATTTAGGGAGCTGATGGCAAGGAGTTTGGGCAGTGGTATAGCATTTGTCTGGGCCTTCCAATTGTCTTGACCGCGGGCTGATCTGTCTGTCTGTTTGTGTGTTTCGCGTGCTTGCTCAGTCACTCTGCCTCTCTCACGCTCTCCCCCTTGTCTAACATCCCCTTCTCCTACCGTCTCACCCCCCATTTAACTCTCCATCTCTCTTGCTCCTCCCTCTCTCTCTTCCTCTCCTTCTGTCATTACAACTCTCTGCGCCTCTCTTGCCCTCTCTTGCTTACCAACTCTCTCTCCAATTCTTGCTCTCTCATAAGTCTCTGTTTCCACTTGTTATGTCTCGACCAACTGTCTTTTCCCTCCTTCCCTTTCCACCCAACTCTCTCTCTCTCTCTCTCTCTCTCTCTCTCTCTCTCTCTCTCTCTCTCTCTCTCTCTCTCTCTCTCTC